CATTAAAGGATATGATGTAGTTTTTGTATTTTTATTTTCACTTGATATTTTTACTCCAGTCAAACAATTTCACATTTAATTTTATTAGCTGCGCGAATCTCACAAGACTACCCATGCCATACAATGCAAGTCTTTAGATTTTCGTCGAAATAATCCTCTTTATTCATCATTTATTGCTTGTTTTATTTATATATTGAAGGAATTAAGGCATGTAATAGTTACAAAAGCCGTTTTGAAATAATTTTGGCATAAAGTCGTCCAAAAGTCGTGGGATAATTGCCTGTGCACTTTGTTTACCTAATTAGCATATTGTTCAGTGTCGTAATTATGAGAGAAGTAATTTCAAAATTAATCGAAAACTYAAAAAGATAACGGCTTATTTGAGTGATGTGATATTCTAAAACATTTCTAGGCAATTGGAAGAGTTTCAAGAAAGCTGGACTAATTTTGTTTACTTTTTTGATAATGACTTTTGATAGCGTGATTTTGGCGAAATCAAAAATTAGCATAAATTATCTGAGATTTTGAGATTCAAGTAAATAGTTGCCCACGGATTTGAATGCWCAAAAMGTTAMMGTARCCATAGAGGATTACGAAAATATAATTGACATCCACGAGTGTTCAATACTACATCCATCTTTATGCAGTTRAAGTGTACCTACTTCACGCTTGTAGCTCGATCTCGAAAAGTGCATGTAACTAAAACTCCTATATTTCCGTGTTATCTTAACACAGAATAAAACCGAATACATCGAATGAAAGCCATGACATGAGGGTATCACTGGATAAAATTGTATTGAAAATAAGCAAGGAGACAGCTTTTTAGAAGGTTTTGTTTTCAGCTGTTTTTGAGTTTTGACAAGGCGAAAAAAAACTACTTATATCATCCCTTCTCAAAAATCGAAAAATCGTTTTTTCTCAAAACAAACTAGGTTTTTAGATGTGTCAGATAGGCTTCGTTGTGACAAAATTTGAGGTGGGGTGATTTTTGGGCCATTTCCAAGTTTGCTCAATCCTTACAAAGACTGTCTCTTAAGGTACAAGAATGAATTTCAAAACAAGGAAGCAGGGAGAGAGTATAATGAACTTGTATTGAAACCAAAGTTTGATGAGAGCACAGAGGCAGTATGGAGACCAAAACCAGCTGAGTCCGAAGCTAATACCTTTCCTACAGATACTGTTCAAGTTGATGAAGCTAAATTTAAACAACAAAATAGCCTCTTGACAAGATTGAATTATGTTCCTGTTGATCAGTGTTCTAAGGACTGGAGAGCTTTAAGAGTCGGGGTAATCACTGCTAGTAAAGCCCCATCATTACTTGGATTCCATGGGATKAAAGAATTTGATTGCTCTTGGTTTGCAATTAGAAATAAACTTGATGAAAGTGTACTGAACCCCAAAAGGTCTAGATTACCAAATTTCATTAGAGGTAAGCAAGAAGAAGGCAATGCACTCCTCCAGTTTTGTAATGATTCAAACCTAGACATTACCCAGTGTGGGTATTTTAAACATCCCACTGACCAGAGATTTGGGTCAAGTCCAGATGGAGTAAGCACTGGAGAACAGGAATTTCTAGTAGAAATCAAGACCCGATCCTTGCCAAATAAAAGTGATCTGGCAAAGCTAACACAAGAAAAAGTTGAAACAAAACTACTAACCACTCAAACTCCACTAACACAGGTACATTACAATTTATAGCAACCATTTTTCAGCAACTGATTGATTTTGAATGTTATTTTTCAAATCTTTTCATTGTTGCTTAATAAGTCAACATGAACACAAATACAGTTGATATACCCATAAGGACCTATCCTTGTGTTCAGGAGGTGGAAGTGACAAACAAACAACTTTTGGATTTTCAATGTAAACTCTAATGTAAAAAAACCATGATGTACTAGTACCGGTATGTAACTATACAACCAACTAATTGTGTTTGGAAAATCCAAAAGTTGTTTGCTTATGAGACATTATTATTGGAGTGGCCATTAAAAGAGAGTAAAGGATACATTTTCACATCAACTTTATTTTTCTCAGATAACAGGAAGTCATTTAATACAATGCCATTTACAAATTGAGTGCACTGAAACATCACTTGTSTACTTGATGTCCTATGTTCCAGAAGCCAAAGTTGCTGCTTATTTGCCTATAGCAAAAAAATCATGTTCTGAGTGCGATAATGTTGGATTTATTAATACACATATTTGAAAAAAAAGCCATGTCTGACTCCTGGGCACATTTTGAGCATCCTAGCCTTGTAAAGCTAGGAAGTAAACTTGAAGGATCACACCCAACTTTTGAAAACACCCGCTATTTTAGATCTTGGGTAAATTCTGAAGCAAAGTTAATCAAAGCTGTACGATTTCAGAAAGCCTGAGCTAATCACTCATTTTAATTTGATAAGTAAATTATAGTAATATCTTGTCTGTTGAATATGTTGTTTTAAGTCCCAACATGCCACAGATTATATAGACATGTATGAGTAGATTTCTTGAAGTATTAATTCATGTACACTTTAAAAGATTTCTACACCACTAATCTTATTCTTTATAAACTCTGAGTATAATGCACAAAGTAACAAATCCATTTATTTATTTWATTTAATTGGTGTTCATAGAAAGAATGAAAGAGGTGGTGTTGCATCTGTTGCTCCATTATGAGGTTCCTTAGCT